TTCCAAAATAAACACCACTTATTAAAATTCAAAATAACTGATATGTAGATGCATGATACAAAAATTCTTGAATATTTTTATAGTGAAATTATTTTTCTGGATCTTAAATGATAATTTATAAATGATCTAGAAAAGAATGTTCTAAATTTATTAAAGAAACATTTCATTGAATTCAACAAATTATTAGAAAAGTTGAAGTCCAACAGACTATATAATCCAAATTAACCCTAAATAAAGATATTCAATGAGATTGAAAGTGTGTCTTTTTTGTTTGTTTGATATATTACTTACATCTTGAAATGAAAAAATTGTCGTCTTAGTGACATATATGACAGTAATAGCAAAGTAGTGAGTGGCAAAGCATGTTTTACTTCCTTCTAAAAAAAATTTTAAATTACAATAGATTCTATTTATTTTATTAACAGATAATGTTATTAGAATTAGTAGGTCTTCAAACATACAAGTTAAAATACATTATAAAACTTTGCATATGTGAGAATCTGGGGCCAATACTTTTTGTTTAAATTGATAAAATTTAAAAATTTTAACAAACAAAACCTTTTTGTTTTTGTATTTGAGTCACAGAGAGACTTTCGTTTTAGAAGGAAGTTCCTGAGGAGAGATGTTGACTTTGATATCAACGCAACAAGAAAGCTCCTTGTTGCTTCTTTCCTCAGGTGACTTGTATCGTCCCTAATTATTGGTCGGACAAAATCCTATAAATAGGGCCAAACACACATCAATGCTGCAACTGGAAACCAAACTCTCAAGAAAGTTCATGTCCAAACCAAAAGAGTTTTCTGCCAAATGCAAGAAACCACAGCCAGCCTTGCCAACGATTAAGAAAATAAGGAACTGAAATTAAGTATTACATTTAACTCAAATATGTAAACTCTCTCTCAGGATAGATGTAGTGAGTTAGAGAACTAAAATCCTCACACACTTGATTGTTGAACCGTTGTTTTATCATAGTCGTCATTTATTTATTTATATATATATATATTTATTTATATATATATATAAATGACGACTATGATAAAAATTACACCCATTTTTATGCTAGTGGAGTCTTGGCCTAAAGCAACGGTTAAAACTGATAACAGATGCATATTATAGCTACATGAAGCAAGAAAACAGAACTTAAAATCTCTTTACCTAAAGATAACAACAATAACTGAATTTCAATTACAATGTGAAACGAGGAATTCTGGGTTAACCCCTTTTTCACATACAGGATGGTAAATAGTTGAGAAGAAGATTCATCAAAATCTTCTTGTGATTCCTGACACCAGTTAGGATAAACTAGTTGTGTCCTAACTCGCAATTAAATTAACTGTCTTCTGATTGGCTGAAGATATAATAACAACTTGACTGGAATTTTAGGAGGGTTTATTAAATACAAAAATTATTACATGGTTCGTAAGCCAATGATAGAGTTAGGCATTAAATCAACTAAGTGGCAAATAAGCATATAACTATTATTTATTATAGGAGATTATAACTATTATATTAGTTATATTA